TTTAATTAACACGTTTTCATCAAAGCAAATATTTCATCAAAGTAAATATTTCATCAAAGTAAAAATTTCATCAAAGTCAAACTTAATTCAAGGTTAAAAGTTGATTAAAGTTATAATATGAATATACCAAAAAAACAGTGACTTTTCTTCATGTAAAGTTGTGTTTATTGACAACCTGCATTCATTTTCTCAAATAAAATTACATAAAAATTCAGGGTGACAATTGCCCCCACTATTATTGTACAAATGACTGGGTGGCAATTGTCCTAGAAGGCAATTGTCCTTAGTGGCATTTGTCCGGGTGGCAATTGTCTGGTTGGCAATTGTCCGGATGGCAATTGTCCTGCTCCCCTGTAAACGTCCTTGGCAAGCGTTGTTTCAAACTTTCCTCACACTTTCCACTGAATAGCCGCGATACACCAGGAATCCTGTTTCATGAGGCGTTAAAACTAACTCACAAATTTGCCAGTGCGACGTCAGTTCCACAACAAACAAACAAACATTTCGTCGAAATGGGGTGCAGAAGCAATATTAATGAGCTCCTTATAATGTATTTTTTAACTTAATTCACAATAGGATTTACGCTATGTCAACCGTGACAAAATGTCACCCATTGTATGCAAGATAGGGGCCAACAAACAACTCGATTTTCAGAATTAATTGAATATAGCTTTGATAAGTGACCCTTCCCACTGGGCGAACTGAGAAAGTCATATTTTCAGTATTAAATATATTATATACAAAAATATTACAGTTATTGTGATAGAATTTCAATTTGACACCGCGGGGAGTGCTTAATGATATCGCCTGAAGGTGTCTGAAGGTTTTAAGCAATTAAGAGATCAAAGAATTGGGTGCTTCTGTTTAGTTGAAGCCCAAATGTGCTTGAAACTAGTTTGTACATCAAAGTGTCAGATGCACCGAGCTGTTTGAAGTTTAAATCATAAACATGATATAATTATTCAAATGGTGACAAATAGTTACTCACTAGAAAATGGTCCCCCTTTGCTTTTTGTATCTTTCTGGTTAATGTGAGACAAGGCTATTTGAGCCCTCCCTGAGTGGAATTGGATTGTGATAATGTTGGCGTTCAACCAAGGTGTTAAATGAATGATATCGCCTCTGTGTATTGTCGCTACATGTATTTTTATCCCTGTTATAATTTCATGTAATGTATATTATGTTGTCAATACGTACACTTTTGAAGAAGAAAAAACACACACAAAGATTTAAAAAATATTAATGGCGTTTTAAAGTAGGTACTCAGACACATCTCAACACAACATCTGACATACATGATTATAACCCAGTTGGTAATTTTCTAAATCTGTTGTGTCATAATGGAACGTGACATAAAACACAGTCAATATTCGCCATAAGCTCTAAAACGCATTTATGATGTATTTTACAAAATAGCTATAGAATTCTAAATCGTTATGAATTCCCCAACAAGCTTCTTCCAACTGCGCCGACCTATTGGATTATGATTCAGTATGATTCTGAGTGACTCTACACCGTTGATACAATGCCTGCAATAAGGGAATTCCAGCTTGGAGTTTTCCAGACATACTTGTAATTTCATTTTCAAATGAGTCTTTGATGAACTTTTTGTGTTTACAAAAACGCCCCCCAAATTTAAAACACATAATTGATAGTGACAAACCGTGGTTTGGGAGTAAAGTGGTCTCAGACTTAAATTTTCTCCATGCTTGATCTAATGCAAAATCCACGTAGCCGCGTGGTTAGGCTAATGCAACACGCCGCTCATAGGGTCTAATATTTAACAATCATTCATCAAGTTTTGCTTGTGTGTTTTTGACCAAGATTGGCGACACTTCTAAGTGGATGAGTAGATGGAACACCAGAATACGCGTGAACAAAACGCCGCCCAATGTCTACAGTTAATGGGAAACAAATATCCAATCTATCAAATCCCGACTTGAAGTCACACGAAGGTTGGGCTTGACTGTAGATTGGGATAAAAATCCATAAAAGCGTTTTGTCATACTTTGAATGTCGGTTTGAAACGTGCTATGTGTATTCATTTGATGTCACCGAACCCGTTTCGGGTCGTGATACTGTTACGTAAAATAGCAGGGCAAGGTGTGCCACAGGGTTATGTACTGGGTCCTATTCTGATAAGGAAAACAAATATTAAAAAGACAAAATTTTCTTACTTGTAACTAATAACTTTAAGTATCAAGTTGAACGTTTTCCTCAATAAAAGTGATGTGTTTGCATCAATAACATTCCATATATATAAAGACATTATACCGTAATGTTGCCAAAAGATGTTTGCATATACGCCAGTAGCGCAAGTACCGACATACAGAATTGAATGGTATTTTTGATAATGGTCAGATCTTTCTTCTACTTAATTATCAGTTGCAAATTCGCTATAGTGAATACAATAATGATATGTAATATTTGTGGGCGCCCTATGTCCTGGTCATGATGTCTCCCAATTGCAAGGCCACTGCGCCCTTGTGTTGAAGCCTTGGTCTGACCGATGGTCAAACATGTGTGTTTAGGTCACCAATACAAACGTCTAATTTGGCTAACTTACCACGTCAACACGAGAAAGCGGTCCGCGCGATTTTTCACACATTTCTGTTTACACTTTGTCGGTAAAAACGAAGGCTCTATCGCCTACCAAAGGCTTTTGAATTCCCTCCCCTTTTCGTCGCGTCTGAAACCGGCGTTAAGCTATTATTTGCGGGACAAATACGATTTGGCCAATGTGTATAAAATATTTAGAAATAGCTGCAAATATGACAAATCTTCCCGTTTGTGCCAGCATAATGTTTCATTGTTTTTTTTCAGCGACTGCTAGGCGCCCGTGCTAGTATTATTTAACACACCCTCGACAATGGGTTGATTCGTCCTATGTTCTTAGCACGAGAATAAATCCAACGCGTTTAATTAAGATCTTTCGCTCGGTTACGTCAATATGTTTCTTCTATGCCACTGATTATCAAATATGTGACGCCCATGTTGATTTTCATTACACGCACACTTGAAAAACAATAACTAAGAACTGCAAGTATCGTTCTTTGACTAACCCGCACTGGTGTTACGTGGGGGGGTTCCTTGTATGTTTAAATGTTAATCGTATATTTTATGGTGACATTCTGTATTTCCCTTATAGTTTAACTATAGTTTAACTAGCTCATATGCAAGATAATACAAATGTGAGTATTTATACGAATCAGTCTTTTCTTCATTTTTTCTTCTTTTCATGATATTTGTATAGCGAAAATATCCAGCTCAGCTCAGGTGCCCAAAGGCGCTTTGTTTTTTCCCTCGATCATACGATGTCAATCTCAACGGCTCATCGTATTTTTCAATCTCAACTCCCTGGGGATCATACAACTAACAGTAGATTCACACATGGTGAAGTTTTGCGCCTGATTGGAGAAGAAGCATTTTTATTTTACTTCAACGACCCTCAAAAGCATCTACACACTTATATTTGGGCCAAAAGATAACAAGCTTGGAATGTTTTTAATTGGCGATATTGGGTATCATAGCTTTATTTTGTACCTTTAATTTTCAGTTTGGCGACGTTTTGATTATTTCGTAATTGTTTGGTTGAGTCCTATCTCCTCGATACTGTATTTTCTTTTGTGCATCAGTATTTACAGGGTCGTATGGGTATGAATCCTCCAAAACAGAACAGCAAGCAACACATACCGCAGCAGTTTAATGAAACAGTCATACATGAATCTGTTGCTGTGTCTGGGCTTTGCTGGAAGTCAGTATGCTGTAGAGATGACGTAATAAGTAACAAGTGAAACACGACCTCAAACCAATCATAGCCAGACCCAGATGACACCGTGTCCCGAACTGGATTTGTATCCATCCCTGACATGTTTCTTCTATGAATATAAACGTTTACTGCGTACTGCCTCGCAACAGCCGTATCAACTCTCTCCGTCCTTAACATCATTACAACATTACCACGAAGACGTTTGACAGATAAACTGTCTTAGATTTAAAGCAATCAGAAAACTCCATTACGGTTTAAGTGAGAAAAATCTTATCTCGCGAAATAGCTACACCCTTGGGTCTTACAGTGCATAATTCTTAAGAAGGTGTAAATTAAGGAATCGTTTAAAACCGAACGCCGGTTAACAGGACGACATTTCGTCGCGCCGCCGTGTTCATTAGAGTAGCCAGAATCTGGCGTTTCGCAGCGGCATCGTCGCCGAGTTAATTTTTCGATACCACCGCTTTATTGGCCAATCGCTATCACTAATTACCACCCCGTGGGGCGAAAGGGTGGCATGAAAATTAGAATGACGGGTTTATCTGAAGCGTATGTCAAAACCGTAAGAGGTTGCGATAGTAGAGATAACAGCATATCACATTGGAGTCTGCAGTTTGTGGTTGGTGAACGGTTCCAACTGACTGATGGTTTGTGTATCGAATTTAACGAAATCTTCTGGTTTTGCGCTGCAAGAGAAAAGGAGATGGAATAAATTAAACGTTGTTATAAATATACGGCCATGTGTGTTAATCAATATCGTTCATCATCGTTTACTACATGGTATGTATTATGAAAATATGTGGAACTAATCATCTCGAACCTGCTGTATGTCGACCTTATTATCATCCAGTGAACTGCATCTTTCGTCTTTGAGGTACTCTGCTCTAAGGACTGGTGTCCAATCGAATTCTTACTGGGTGTTCAAATTAGAGGTTTAAGTGGGTTCAGTTCCCACTACAAGTTTGAAGCCAATTCGTGTTGTCTTGCTACTTCTTGCTAATTAGAATATTGATCTATGTAAAACCAACTACCGTCATTAGCTTACTTCCCGGTATCATTAAAGGTTAGACCAGGGCCACTGGGAATCATACAATGCGTTAATATTGGGCAAAAGTACAACTGTCGTTGTCTGCACTCGGTGTACTTAGTTGTCCATACACCATTGTTAGCAATGTATAATCCTCAACACACATAGTACATCAAGCAACCCAACCACTCTCAACACCCACAGTACACCGGGACGCTCTACCATCCTCAACACACATAGTACATCAAGCAACCCAACCACTCTCAACACCCACAGTACACCAGGACGCTTTACCATCATCAACATCCACAGTACACCAGGACGCTCTACCATCATCAACACCCACAGTACACCAGGACGCTCTATCATCATCAACACCCACAGTACACCAGGACGCTCTACCATCATCAACACACATAGTACATCAAGCAACCCAACCACTCTCAACACCCACAGTACACCAGGACGCTTTACCATCATCAACATCCACAGTACACCAGGACGCTCTACCATCATCAACATCCACAGTACACCAGGACGCTTTACCATCATCAACATCCACAGTACACCAGGACGCTCTACCATCATCAACATCCACAGTACACCAGGACGCTCTACCATCATCAACATCCACAGTACACCAGGACGCTCTACCATCATCAACATCCACAGTACACCAGGACGCTCTACCATCATCAACACCCACAGTACACCAGGACGCTCTACCATCATCAACATCCACAGTACACCAGGACGCTCTACCATCATCAACATCCACAGTACACCAGGACGCTCTACCATCATCAACACCCACAGTACATCAGGACGCTATACCATCATCAACATCCACAGAACACCCAGACGCTCTACCATCATCAACATCCACAGTACACCAGGACGCTCTACCATCATCAACATCCACAGTACACCAGGACGCTCTACCATCATCAACATCCACAGTACACCAGGACGCTCTACCATCATCAACACCCACAGTACACCAGGACGCTCTACCATCATCAACATCCACAGTACACAAGGACGCTCTACCATCATCAACATCCACAGTACACCAGGACGCTCTACCATCATCAACATCCACAGTACACCAGGACGCTCTATCATCATCAACACCCACAGTACACCAGGACGCTCTACCATCCTCAACACACATAGTACATCAAGCAACCCAACCACTCTCAACACCCACAGTACACCAGGACGCTTTACCATCATCAACATCCACAGTACACCAGGACGCTCTACCATCATCAACATCCACAGTACACCAGGACGCTCTATCATCATCAACACCCACAGTACACCCAGACGCTTTATCATCTTGAACACCCACAGTACACCCAGACGCTTTATCATCTTCAACATCCACAGTACACCCAGACGCTTTACCATCATCAACAACCACAGTACATCCAGACGCTCTACCATCATCAACATCCACAGAACACCCAGACGCTTTACCATCATCACAAACCACAGAACACACAGGAACTCTACCATCCTCAACACCCTCTGTACACCCAGCAACTAAACCCCCCTCAACACCCACTGTACACCCAGCAACTCTACCCCCCTGAACACCCACTGTACACCCAGCAACTCTACCATCGTCAACACCCACTGTACACCCAGCAACTCTACCATCCTCAACACCCACTGTACACCCAGCAACTCTACCATCCTCAACACCCACTGTACACCCAGCAGCTCTACCATCCTCAGCATTCATAGTATATCCAGCAACTCTACCATCCTCAACACCCACTGTACACCCAGCAACTCTACCATTTTCAACATTCATAGTATATCCAGCAACTCTACCATCCTCAACACCCACTGCACACCCAGCAACTCTACCATCCTCAGCATTCATAGTATATCCAGCAACTCTACCATCCTCAACACCCATTGTACACCCAGCAACCCTACCATTTTCAACATTCATAGTATATCCAGCGACTGTACCCCCCTCAACACCCACTGTACACCCAGCGACTCTACCATACTCAACACCCACTGTACACCCAGCAGCTCTACCATCCTCAACATTCATAGTGTATCCAGCGACTCTACCATTCTCAACACCCACTGTACACCCAGCAACTCTACCATCCTCAACACCCACTGTACACCCAGCAACTCTACCATCCTCAACACCCACTGTACACCCAGCAACTCTACCATCCTCAACACCCACTGTACACCCAGCAGCTCTACCATCCTCAACATTCATAGTATATCCAGCAACTCTACCATTCTCAACACCCACTGTACACCCAGCAAATCTACCATCCTCAACACCCTCTGTACACCCAGCAGCTCTACCATCCTCAACATTCATAGTATATCCAGCAACTCTACCATTCTCAACACCCACTGTACACCCAGCAACTCTACCATCCTCAACACCATCTGTACACCCAGCAACTCTACCATTCTCAACACCATCTGTACACCCAGCAACTCTACCATCCTCAACACCATCTGTACACCCAGCAACTCTACCATCCTCAACATTCATAGTGTATCCAGCAACTCTACCATCCTCAACACCCACTGTACACCCAGCAACTCTACCATACTCAACATTCATAGTATATCCAGCCTCTCTACCATCCTCAACATCCACTGTACACCCAGCAACTCTTCCATCCTCAACACCCACTGTACACCCAGCAACTCTACCATCTTCAACACCCACTGTACACCCAGCAACTCTACCATCCTCGACATGCATAGTGTATCCAGCAACTCTACCATACTCACCACCCACTGTACACCCAGCAACTCTACCATCCTCAACACCCACTGTACACCCAGCAGCTCTACCATCCTCAGCATTCATAGTATATCCAGCAACTCTACCATCCTCAACACCCACTGTACACCCAGCAACTCTACCATTTTCAGCATTCATAGTATATCCAGCAACTCTACCATCCTCAACACCCACTGTACACCCAGCAACTCTACCATTTTCAACATTCATAGTATATCCAGCAACTCTACCATCCTCAACACCCACTGTACACCCAGCAACTCTACCATCCTCAGCATTCATAGTATATCCAGCAACTCTACCATCCTCAACACCCACTGTACACCCAGCAACTCTACCATCCTCAACATTCATAGTGTATCCAGCAACTCTACCATCCTCAACACCCACTGTACACTCAGCAACTCTACCATCCTCAACATTCATAGTGTATCCAGCAACTCTACCATCCTCAACACCCACTGTACACCCAGCAACTCTACCATCCTCAGCATTCATAGTATATCCAGCAACTCTACCATCCTCAACACCCACTGTACACCCAGCGACTCTACCGTACTCAACACCCACTGTACACCCAGCAGCTCTACCATCCTCAGCATTCATAGTATACCCAGCAACTCTACCCTCCTCAACACCCACTTTACACCCAGCATCTCTACCAAACTCAACACCCACTGTACACTCAGCCACTTTACCATCCTCAAAACCCACTGTACATCCAGCAACTCCTTCCATCCTCAACACCCACTGTACACCCAGCAACTCTACCATCCTCAACACCCACTGTACACCCAGGATCTCTACCATCCTCAACACCCACTGTACACCCAGCAACTCTACCATCCTCAACACCCACTGTACACCCAGCGACTCTACCATCCTCAACACCCACTGTACACCCAGCAACTCTACCATCCTCAGCATTCATAGTATATCCAGCAACTCTACCATCCTCAACACCCACTGTACACCCAGCGACTCTACCATCCTCAACATTCATAGTATATCCAGCGACTCTACCCTCCTCAACACCCACTGTACACCCAGCAACTCTACCATCCTCAACACCCACTGTACACCCAGCAACTCTACCATCCTCAACACCCACTGTACACCCAGCAACTCTACCATCCTCAACATTCATAGTATATCCAGCAACTCTACCATCCTCAACACCCACTGTACACCCAGCAACTCTACCATCCTCAACACCCACTGTACACCCAGCAACTCTACCATCCTCAGCATTCATAGTATATCCAGCGACTCTACCATCCTCAACACCCACTGTACACCCAGCAACTCTACCATCCTCAACATTCATAGTGTATCCAGCGACTCTACCCTCCTCAACACCCACTTTACACCCAGCATCTCTACCAAACTCAACACCCACTGTACACTCAGCCACTTTACCCTCCGCAACACCCACTGTACACCCAGCAACTCCTACCATCCTCAACACCCACTGTACACCCAGCAACTCTACCATCCTCAACATTCATAGTATATCCAGCGACTCTACCCTCCTCAACACCCATTGTAGCCCAAGCAGTTCCTGTTGCACTAAAATCCATCGTAATCGCAGCAACCTTTTTAATACAATTATCAAACCCGAACAAAACCTGTTACCATGGTAACATTCCACTTTTACATAAACCCATCACCTTACAACTATATAATCCTATCCTAATTCCTATGAGAAGATCAACTCATTCAAAGCTTCAGTCCTGTGAGTCTTAGCACGCATATCTAATCATCAAAGTCTTCAGTCTTGTGAGTCTTAGCACGTATATCTTATCATCACAGTCTTCAGTCCTGTGAGTCTTAGCACGCATATCTAATCATCACAGTCTTCAGTCCTGTGAGTCTTAGCACGCATATCTAATCATCACAGTCTTCAGTCCTGTGAGTTTTAGCACGCATATCTAATCATCACAGTCTTCAGTCTTGTGAGTCTTAGCACGCATATCTAATCATGACAATGCACTTAAGGTTTGAAACACTGAAATGTAGTTTACAGTTTTTTCAGAATGAATGAAAATGACTCAAAGCACCATCGTTCCTTCTTTCAGCGAGTGACGTTATGTTCTTCATCAGTCCGAGGTCCACAGCATTCCTCTCAGTTCCTCTCTTCATGTATTATCATGTCTTTTGAACTTTTCTTTATATCAACCATGGCGAGACGATAATTACCCCTGTAAGCCGACTCGTAGAAAGATCATTTAATGATCAGCAGACCTTGCGTTTTTAGTTCCTTATTTTTGTATCAACTTTGTTTATTACGCCTCTGCGATTCGGGGAGATAAAATTATAACTTTCGTGCGTTGTGCTCCATGGTGGGACGGCACTTTGGGTTCATTTAATGCGAAACTTTATCTGACATTATACATGTTAAGATTACACTATTAAGCCATATTTTCAACCAGCCATTGAAGACTAAAGTGCAAAATCGCCATTAATTTCGTTTCGTCTGTACTTCTAAGAGTGATAACAGTAAAAGGTGGGTTAGATGTAAAAGTAGGACTGGCGCCACATGCGAAACCGCAACGCCTCTAAGTTAATATATTTTAGCGTGTTAAATTAATGTTAAAGGCGACACGGGGGTGTTTGGGGCTTCGCTAATCCAGGGGTGGGTTTCTGTGGAAGACGTGGTGCCAATCGCCAAAATCTATACATATTTGCATAAGTTCTAACAAACTGACGCAGTGCAAATAATTCTAATTATACATCAAACACGTCTGCCTGACATATCCATCAAGGTTCTCACATTCAGTCTAATGGAACCGAACCAGGACATAACCGCTTTATTCTGTCTGTCATAAATAAACACAATAAATATTCTGTCTGAAAAGGCGGACTGAGCACTTTCATTATCCCCGACCTCAACGTACGTAAACACTTCTCAAGAAGTGCGGGGTCTCATATATTTAAGACGTTTTTTGAATACGTTTTACAAGTTTTTTCAATGGCGTCATATGCTTTAGAGATTTCATATAGCATTTGTTTTGATGCTTGATGGACATTTAGATATACTGGGTGTTTCGCCTGCTGCTTTCGTTCGTTTCCTGTGTGTTTGGAAGTATGGCACTGTTATATTCGTCTTTCATGGCAACTTAAATGTTATTGCTATTATAGGATATTTATATAGCGCACATATCCACACAACTAGTGCATGCTCAAGGCGCTGAAGTGTTCCCTTGATCAACGGGTGTCTTTTTTCTTGTATCTGTTAACCAGCTCAACTCCCTGGGGAGTATTCAACTCATGCAGCTTATTAAGCGCAGCGGGTTATCACACAGCCTCACCCTCACAAGGTATCATTTACCGCTGGGTACCTTGAAGCAGGTGAACATCACAATGTGGAGTGTTTACGTTCAAAACAATCATGTATGTGACTTAAATACCGTTAAAAGCTTCATCAAATCTATACCTCTTGACTGTCATTTCAGCCGTGCCAGGATCTGCTAATTGTGGGTTCGAATCCCATCTATCATGTATCCTTGGTTTGCCAGCACCATACCCGTGCCCCTGAGTTCCACCAAGTATTAAAAGACTTCATTTCTTTGGATTGTCATCTTCCTTGCGCCTACTGTCTCGGTGTAACTTAAATAATGTTCGATCCCCATACTCAGTTTCACAGTGAGTGAGTTGGGTTTTACGCCGCTTTTAGCAATATTCCAGCAATGTCACGGAGGGGGACACCAGAAATGGGCTTCACACATTGTACCCATGTGGGGAACCGATCC